ACACGCTTAATCTACACCAAACAGGAATTCAGCATAACATCAAGTCACAGAAAAGTTCACAACCATACTAAAAGAGTAGTAACGGCAGCAACCTATAGAAATAACTGAACTAGTAAATTAGCAGAAAATCGTCGAAATGAACATCCATAGTCCATACCTTCGCTCAAAGTACGCCCTTGCTGCAGATCACGGGCCATGGACCGAATTTCATCGCACAGACGAGAGACCTCATCGGAGAGAGGAGGAAACTGATGTTTGTCGTAGTAAGAAGCCAGAAAAGCCCTGGTGATCGGCACAAGCCCCTCCGTTGACGCCATGCTGTAGATTTCCCTCGAGCAGTAGCCGGGAGTATCTACAACTTCGTCCGGCGACGGAATGCGGAATGCGGAATCGGCCGGAAAGTCCGCCGGAGAAGCAAAAGGAGCGATGCAGAGATGAATTTATTGCGGGAGAAGTAACGCAGAAGCAACAGGAGCGAGAGCTGGGCCCGGGAGTAGAAGAAACTCACGAAACGAGAAAAGGAAAGGCGAATGGGAATTTTGTGAGGGTTTATTCTTTTCTCCCACGCAGACAAAGCAAAGGGGTGCAGGAAGAGTAAAATTTGACTGAAATAGATAAAAGTTTGAATCCTATTTATAATAATTTTATTAAAAAGATATATGTATAAATTTGGTCTTATAGATTCTTCTTTTTTCTACAATTTGTCACCAAAAACTACATAAACTATTCGTGTTGGCTATATAGGTTGTGAGATCAATCCATTCATAATAATCAATACATAAAATGAGTAATTTAAAAAATGTCACTACTTTTTTTTTACTATTTAATGTAACAATATATAATTATATTTGATTAATTTATAGATTCATTTTTTGTAGAACTTAGATGGGTCAAAAAGTCTCATCTATTATTAATAATTGCTCAATTCACACCTTAAACTAAAATAATACTCCGTATCTAATTCGACACATTTACTTTTAAAATTTTGTTCACCTAATATTTGCTTCAGGTTTCTCCAGGTAACCCTTACACAATGCTGACATGGAATTTAAATAAAAATAATTTTGTTGACTTGGTTTAATTTTTGACCTTTAAGCCCATTCAACCCCATAGTGACCAAAGACCCAGTTATCAACACCAACCCGACAACACTCTTCTTGATTTCAGTCAAATCCTCGAGAGCTTGAGAAGGATCATGCATGGTGAATGCAAGTAGGTTCAGTGCAAACATAAACTTTCTTCTTCACCCCCTTGCTTGATCTATGTCTCAGCTTCCATGACAGATTGTGACCCTTTTTGTGAAGCTGTAAATTTTGATCTCTCTTAAACCAATGGTTGCATATTTCACAAACAAATCTGTTTGCAGTAATCACCTTTGCATCGGGATCTTGAAAACTCAAAAAGGTACAAATTTTCAAAAATTAATTTTTCTAATTTTAGTAAATCGAATACTTAGCTTTAAAGTCAAACAGATTACCTGGCATTCCAAGAAAGTTTCGCTTTGTCTTGCTTATAAAGGAGCTACTTAATTGCTAGATGAAGAGACGTTGGCTTCATCAGAACCGGTGGAGTCATTCACGACGGAAGACTTATCGGCATCGATCGACATGACAATGCATATGTTTCACTGTCCTTTAGAGTTGCTCATGGTCATCCACTGTTTGTGGCTGCAGAAAGAAATGCTCAATATTGCCTATATTGCCTTCACTGAAGCTCGAACCCGCAACCTCCCCTATGAGGGAACAACTTGGTGCTATTGGACCACAAAGTCCTTGGCAATAGATCATATGGACTATTTGATCCTTTAGTCTTCATTTTTTTTAAAACTCATGATAAGATTTGTCCAATTCATGATAACTAATTACTAAAATGAACTTTAGTTGTTACGTAATATGGTGAAATAAGTTTTGATTCTTGTAGCAATACCTCATTTTGATGGTATTAAATGTTTATACAAAATAATTAAGTTATTTTTATAGTTGTTTCTCTGATTCCTCTGTGGTATGGAAGTATTGAAATAATAATGTGTCGAAATAGTCTTAAAATATTGGTCTAGTGGATGAGAATGTTCATTTAAGATTTGGTTCTAGTAGCATGATGGGAGTTTGATTCATATTACGAACATTGAGGGTTTGAGTTGACCCATTTTTGCAAATGAGTATACACTTTGATGTTAGTTTTAAAAGTATATTGATTTGATTTACCTCATCATGAGTCTTTGGACGGCTTTATGGCTTCAAGGTATGGTATGGGTGTCTAGTAAAGCTAGGGATAACAATTTCAATTCGCGTCATAGGTATCCATCCAAACCCACCCAATATGGATAATTATTTTTTATTATTATTATTTTTTTTGTGATAGTGGTGGTGGATCAATGGTGTGCCTTAAAAAATAAAACCCACAATGAGTTGGATTGGATTAAAATTTTATGTACAAAATCCGTCTAGAATCTCATTGACCCACCATAAATAAATAAATAAACACACACACACACACACACACACACACACACATATATATATATAGAGAGAGAGAGAGAGAGAGAAGTAATATGTAGTTAATTATAAATTTTTCTATATATTTTGCTAACTTTTTACTATTTTTAGTTATAAACTAATAAATTTATTTTTAAAAATTTAACAATTTAGTTATTATATTTGAATATTTTTTTTTATTTTATGTTTGAGGCCCTGTTTGGTAAAAAATTAACTTATAAGTCAATTTTGGCCTATTTGACCACTATTAATTGTTTGATTTAGTTAAAATATCAATATAAATGTTTGGTTAATTAGCTTTTTGCAACTCCAAAAAGCTAAAATTCAAAAAGCTACTTCAAGCAACTTTTTCAATAAGCTTTTTGAAAGAAGAAATTATACCAAACAACTATCAGCTAACAACTAATTTACCAAACACTTTTCTACAATCAGCTAATGTTATCAACTATTTATACCCTCTAATTAACACAATCAGCTAACAGCTAACATCCATTTTACCAAACAGGGCCTTAATATATTTAGTGAATTTTATTTTTTATTATATGTAAATAATTTAAATTATATTTTAATTTATTTAATACAATTATAAGTGGTGGGTACCTTTATTGACACCTGCACTCGGTCAGGCAGGGTGACCAAGTTTTGTAAAAGTTCACTCAATGTCGATCGGATGAGAAATAGATGAATAAAGTATAAAATGGGTCGAGTTATTGATGTAGCGTACCCCAATCCACTCATTACCCAATATCCATTGTCATTCCTAAATGAAGCATAATAACATGAGTTAAAAAAAAATAATTAAAAAAATTTGTGTCGAACTATTTTCTTATAGTCTAAATGTTTTATAGTCCACTGTATCGTTGTGACACACGACCTAGGAGGATGTGTAGTGCACATGACGCTTTGCTTCTAACTACAATTTAGTTGTAGAGGTGTTGAGTTTAGACTACGAAAGAATTAGTGGATGTTTGGTTAAAATATGAAAATTCACCTAAGAGGTCCGATCTAGTTATATGATGATTAGTGTATTAAAATAGTTTTTATGTTTAGAATTAAATTAGATATTAACATTGAGGCTTTTCAGTTTAGATTGAACTCTTTGTGTGCATAAATGTACAATTTAGTATTGAATTTTGAAATTATATTGTCTCGATTTATCTCTTCATAAACATAGAGACAATTTATAAGATCAATGATATAGTCTGACGCAATTATAAATTTTGAGTTATAAACCAAAAAAAAAAAAATTAAAAGAAGTAGTACGGTACGATGTACTAAAATTGGTTACGTGATTGTGTACAAAATAGAAGTTTTTTTTAATGCTACTAGCTCAATTACAATGTAGTATCTGTTCATATACTTTCTCAACCTACTGAAACACAAAGAGCTAATAACGCCTCCACTGAGACTCGAACTTACAATCTTCCAAATGGAAGTCAACAAATAAGTCACTTTTTAATTTGAAAAATGTTATAGGCTAATCTCCTTCTTTGGCTATATCTCCTACCTAAATTTGTATAAACTAGTCCTTTTGGACTAATTCATCCTAGAGATGACAATTCAACCCGCTCACGACGGGAAAAACCGATCCCCGCCCCGACGGGGGCAGGTTCGAGGATTTTTTAGGGGAAGGGGGGCGGGGATGGGGGAATTTCCCAATCCCCGCCGGGGACGGGGAGGGCATTCGCCGCCCCAATCCCGATCCCTGCCCCGTCCCCGAATCCCCGTTAAATTAAATATATATATATATATATATATATATATATATATATATATATATATATATATATATAAAGTAATTAATAGCTAATTTTAAAATATATAAAAAGTTAACTATATATTTTCCTGAGATTATATATTGAAATTATATGTAGTTAATCCTCTTAGTGTGCGGAATGAATCCGGGATTCTATCAGCATTTCTGGAGTGTTGTGGGGGATGAGGTTACACGTTTTATAACAGATTCTTTAAATTCATGTGTCTTCCCAGAGGGATTAAATGATACTAATATAGTGTTAATCCCTAAGAAAACACTACCTGAGACAGTTGCAGATATGAGGCCAATTGCGTTAAGCAATGTTGTTTACAGGATAATGGCGCAGATGATTGCAAATAGGATGAAACCGTTGATGGGAGGAATAATCTCAGAGTCCCAGAGTGCTTTTATCCCGGGGCGTTTAATTACAGATAATATCTTGGTAGCAACGGAAGTGGGGCACTATTTACATAGAAAACAGTGTGGCCGTGCGGGGTGGAGTGCACTAAAACTGGATATGTCAAAAGCTTATGACAGAATGGAATGGCCTTTCTTGAGGAGGATGATAGATGACTGTTATGGGTTTTGATGATCACTGGATTCGTCTTATTATGTTGTGTGTTACCACAGTAAGATATTCAATTGTGGTAAATGGGGAGGTGGGTGGATGTGTAACCCCAACTCGTGGGCTCAGGCAGGGAGATCCTCTTTCTCCCTACTTATTTATTATTTGTGCGGAGGGACTTTCAATGTTATTGCAGAGAGCACAGATAGATAGGGCTATACATGGATGTAGGGTGGCCAGAGGGGCACCACCGGTCTCACACTTGTTTTTTGCAGATGACAGTCTGTTGTTTTTCAAAGCGAATATTCAGGAAGCAGCTGTTATTAAGCAGTGCCTAATTAGATATGAGAAATTGTCTGGCCAAATGGTGAACTTTAATAAATCAAGTATTTGTTTTAGCAGAAATACCCAGATGGCGCAGAGAGAGCAGGTGGCGTGGTGTTTGGGAGTGGAACTGGCATCCAATTTTGGAAAATATCTTGGGCTTCCTTCCTTTATAGGAAGAAATAAAAGGGCTGTATTTGCATATATAGAAGATAAAATCAGGCAGAGAATTGGATCATGGAACAAAAAATTGCTCTCACAGGCTGGGAAGGAGGTGCTCTTAAAAAGTGTGGCTCAGTCTATCCCTACTTTTTCTATGAGTGTTTTTTTGTTGCCTGAATCAGTGTGTTTGTCTATACAGCGTATTATGAACAAATATTGGTGGGGGACAGGTACAGATCGTGGAATACATTGGAAAGCTTGGGATAAATTATGTATCCCTAAAAAATATGGAGGGTTAGGATTTAAGGACCTTCGTGCATTTAATCTGGCCATGCTAGGAAAACAGGCATGGAGATTTCTTACGGAACCCACCACTTTGGTAGCAAGGATTTATAAGGCTCGATACTATCCTACGACCACTTTTGTTGATGCTACCATAGGGAATAACCCAAGTCACTGCTGGCGTAGTATTATGGCCACCCATGATCTAGTCTGCGCCGGGGTGCGCAGAAGGATTGGAAACGGTAGGGATACATTGATATGGGGACATCCTTGGTTATCTGATGATCCTAGCCCTTTGGTTCAAACACACATGCCTGCGGAGTTACGAGGGGCATTAGTGAGTGGCCTGATAGATCAAGATACAGGTACCTGGGATCCACATATTCTTAATGATTTATTTATTCCTGAGGATGTGACCCGAATCTCAAGAATACCGGTAAGCCCAGATTATGATGACACATGGTATTGGATGGGGGACACACAAGGAGTATACACGGTCAAGAATGCCTATAGGCGAATTATGGGAGATTATTCTGACAACCCAGGGACTTTTGATAAATGGGTTACATTGTGGAAATTACGAGTACCACCCAAATGGAAAATCTTTCTATGGAGGGCTGTGTCTGGCATACTACCCACCACTGATAATTTAATTATTAAACGAGTGGAGGTGGATCCTATATGCCTCATGTGTGGCACTACACATGAGAATATTATGCATGCACTGATTCTATGTGATTACTCTAAAATGGTTTGGAATATTTCGGGATTACCTGTCACGAATATTCTGACTAATCATTTCCAATCATGGTTCATAGGCGTGCTGGACTCGTTGACGGAAGGGCAGGTACGGCTGGCTGTTGAGATTCTATATTATTTGTGGCTAGCAAGGAACTCGGCATTATGGGAAAGAAGCTTTCCACGGCCCACATCCACGGTGAGGAGGGCGGTGATGGCCGAGGAAGCCTTCACCAGGCTGGGACGTGCGAGTTACCAGCCTCATGCCACCGTGTTGCCGGAGAGCGACCCACACGACCGGCCCAGGTGTTACTTCGACGCGGGCTACAGACAATACACGGGAGAAGCGACATACGGAGTTGTGCTACTCAATCACGAAGGAGTGTTTATGGCGGCCACGGCAGGAACGTTACCGAGTGCTTTTTCACCTATTATGGCAGAAGCTCTAGCCTGCAAGGAAGCTCTATCATGGCTTAAGGGCCGCGATACACAGATGGTTGATCTACTCACAGATTGTATGGAGTTGCGAAACATGGTAACATCAAGAGGTACCGGAACTCGATCTTATGTTGGGGTCATTGTGGACCAGTGCAGGACAACTATGTCATTATTTACTTCTTGTTCTTTACATTATATTTCCAGAGCTGTTAATATGCATGCTCATACACTAGCTTCGTTAGCTTTCGATCAGGACCATCCTATGTACTGGGATGTAATCCCTCCAGACTCTATTACTATGTTCGTTCATTAATATACCAAGTTACTTGGCTTTCAAAAAAAAAAATCCTCTTAGTGTGCAAGATAAAAAAAAAATATTTTTTTTTTAAAATTAAGTAGTAAGTAATTTTAAAATAAGCAAACTAAGAGGATAATCTCAGTAGGTAATCCTCTTACTGTATATTTTAATCCTCTTCAGGAAACTTGAGAATGTTGAGATTATATGTAGTTAATCCTTTTAGTTTGCTTATTTAGCTTGTTTCCAATATAATAATTTTAAAATTTGTCGATAATTTATGTAATTGCTGTAGTTAATCTTCTGTAATATGATAATATTAGTAGCTTGTTTTAAGTATATGAATTTTTTATAATATTAACTTTTTAATAGGCATAAATAAAAAATGGGGCGGGGAAAATCTCCGCAGGGACGGGGTCACGGGGATGGGGAATAATTCCCCATCCCCGCCGGGGAACGGGGCGGGGACGGGAAATGGGGAGACATTTCGGGGGCGGGGACGGGCCCGCCCCGTTGCCATCCCTAATTCATCCTCTCATGGCATCACTATCCCGGTCGAATTGGATTGGATTTGTTCATATTTGATTGATCTCGTCAGTGCAATTTTAGTTCAATTATAAAATTGTAATTTTTATTTTATAAATTTTTGATGTTTTAAAACTCGCATAAAGTTGTAAGTTTTTTATATATCATTTTACATATCACTAGTTGAGTAATTGTTATTCTTTAGAAAACATCGCTTTGGTTTGTGATTTCACTATAAAGTAAAATTTAATCTCGTCACTTTGTTATGCTTTTTCGCTTTAAAAAATTTGTCCAATATTTGATCTAATTTCCTTTTGGACTTGTAATATTAAGTTAAGTCTAATATATATATATATATATATATATATATAATATACTATATGAGTTTGATTCCTTTCTCAAAAGTAATAGAACCAAATACTCTTTAATTTATATGTATTGTACGTAACAATGCATATAATATATTTAATTAATGAAAATTTTTAATAGTTTATTATAAGTAACATATATTGCATGATAATAATTTTAATATACTTTAATTTAGCCACCTATCGAAATCATTCAAAGAATCGTCGCTACAGAGTTACTTAATGTTTAAGCCATATGTGTCCCCATACGATTGGTAATGATCTTTAACTATCAAATCATGTTTGCATTAAGATAAAGAAAAATAATAAAAAATAACCTGACAAATTTAGTAAGTTAACTAGGTAGGCATGCTCCTTAGCTTGTTCGGTTACACCTTAATATCATATTTGGTTCACGAAATAAATTTTAAAGGAATATAAATAATATTGGGTGAATGCAGTTTGTATAAACAGACTAGTATGAAGATGAACAATGTTGTACTGGGAAGTACGTATTTACTGCAGGCTGGTTTGTGTAAATCAACGAAAGGAAGAAAACAAAGGTCTTGTGTTGTGTTATATTAACACTACTATACCTTAACGACCAGGGTAATCGCATGCTCTCAACGGGTTACACAGAACAACAGGATTGCACATGTAATCTCTAGCTCAGACCAGAAGACACATAAGAAAGAAGGTGATTATGTTCAAATGAAAACAAAGAAGAAGGTTGTTTATATACTGTGAAATATAACTGCCTTCCTCTTACCAGTCACAATTATGGAGTGAAACATGCAGCACAAAAATAAGGGCAAAAAGTTAACCACACCACACCTCGCACGTGAACCAAGCAAGCGGGCTGCGGTGAGGCACACATAGTTCCCTTTTTTTCCCTCTCCATAACTCTTCAAGGTTTTCAAGAAGGGTTGAGGTATATAAGGAAAGTAAAAGTGAGTTAATAAATTAATGTGGGATAACAAATAAGGACAAACCTCAATAAAAGTCTTTGCCTTTAAATGTTTTTCCAACAAATAATATTTCATAGAAAATAAAATAGAAGAATTTATTCCTTCAAAAAAAAAAAAGAATTTATATTCTATTTTTGGTTTATTGATTGAATAAATTTTATAAATTATATTATAATGTTTGTTTGCTTCAAAAAGTATAAATATAATAATTTTCAAAAAACATAAATATCTTTATATTGAATGTTATATATATATATATATATATATATATATATATATATATATATATATATATGTGTGTGTGTGTGTGTGTGTGTGTGTGTGTGTGTGTGTGTGTGTGTGAGAACAACAACATTATTATTATTAGGAATAAGGGTCAAATAAGCCACTCAACTACACACCAAACTGTAATTAGGCCATCAAATTCAAAAAAAATAGAATTCGGTCCCTGAACAATACAAATTCATACAATTAGATCCAAAATAACTTGTTTACCTTACATGACGGTTATCAATTAAAAAAAAAAATTAAATAAAATAAATAAATAAATAATTATATATATATATATATATAGAAGAGCGCTCATATGCGGCGGGGTCTTACGGTGCGGCGGTGCGGTCAAATTCTAGAATACACCAACAGTGTTAACAATATGCACCAACAATGTAATAAAAACACACCCCAATGAAATGTAATAAAACATCACAAAATACACCACAGACTCAAAAAAACACACCATATAACTCACCACCTCCAATGGTGTATTTCCGAACAGTGTATGGTGTTTTTACTCACACCTAATGGTGTGTGTTTGGTGATGCAGGGCTCTGTTTACTCTGTTTTGTGTGGTGTATTTCCTAACGTTGATGATGCATATTTGGTGAACTATTGGTGTTGCCGCACCGTAAGACACTGCCGCACCTGAACCCGCCTCTCTCTCTCTCTCTCTCTCTCTATATATATATATATATATATATATATATATATATATATATATATATATATATATATATATATAACGAACAGAATTGCCATTTGTTCTAGTTTTTTTTTTTTAATTATTTATTTTATTTAATATTATTTTAAAAAAATTATTTGTAAAATCGGTAACCTCCACGTCAGCACAGTTTCAGGTAAACAAATCATTTTGGGTCTAATTGTATTTGTGTTGTTCAGAGACTCAATTACATTTCTTTTTTAGTTGGATGACCTAATTGCAGTTTGGTGTGCAGTTACATGGCGTATTTGACCCTTATTCCTTATTACTATAACATACATTTATAATACCTACAAAAAAAAAAGTATTAATTTTGGCAACTTACACATCAACAATAATCCTTTATATAATAAAGCTATATGGTTTGTGAAATAATTAATATTACAATTAATACCACAACATCTTTTATTATTAAAAAAAAAAAACACAACATTTAAAAAATAAAATAGCTATATATTATATAATCATATAAAAAATATAATTTTGAAAAATAAAATAGATATATATTATATAATTATATAAAAAATGTGTTCAATTAGAGTTTAAATTTACACATACAAAATTTAAAATTTGCTTTCCAAATATAATTATCTTAGTTATTATTCGTATTGTGAAAATTGTAATATAGATGAAATACAATTAAGAATAAATCAATGTAATTATGTAAATTCTCTCTATAAGTTTATTTGAATATGCACATAATTAGAGATTATATTAACCATACAAAATTTTAATTTTAATTTTAATATTAATTTTAATTGTAATTTTGTATTCTATAAAAATAATAAATACTTGACCAGTGGAAGCTCAAAAATATTATTATATTAAATAATTTAAAATATTTTTGTTTTTCTATTTTTTATTTATATTTATAATAACATAATTTTTTTCCGTGCATCGCGCGGGTGAATTACTAGTATACATAAACATAATAAAAACAACAACAATAATATTAATAAATTTGTATTACTACTATTAATGAACTTATATAATAAATGCATATACTTAATTAATTATAAATCATATATGCGCGCACACACATGAAATAAAAAATAAGTATGTGTGTTACAGGTGTTGGTTTTATTATTATTAAAAAAAAAATCATGATAACTAATGAATAACTAATAGCAGGGGCCTCTATAAACTAAGAATGGGCATTCTTTAGGCAAAAAGAATAGCTCATTGAGAATGTGCACCAATAACTGCTCTTCCCAAGCTCATTGCCATATTAGAAGTGAAAATTATTGATCCATGTAATATGATCCAACCTTAAATTATACGGAGTATATAACTATTGGTTATGGAGGAATTGAAGTTAAAGTCAATCCATCTATATATATACTAAATTATATAAGAGTCAATATTGTGAAGGTTCTAATGGACATATAAAATATATTGGTGTAATCACGTACATTAATAAGTTATATATTTTAATTTATTTGTTGTACATTGATAATATATTTTTAAATTTAATCTTTTTTTTTTTTACTTTTCCCTTATGTGCAAATTTTAGTAACATAATAAATTCACTTATTATTATTATTATTATTGAATTGACTTATTATAGTATGTTTTTAAAAACTTTTAATAATAATAATAATTATTATTTTTTTGAATGCTACTGACTCTAGTACATTGTAGTATCTGTTCATATACTTTCTCAACCTACTGACTCTATTACACGCCTCCACTGAGGCTCGAACTCACAACCTGACCAACCCGGGTACCATTAGACCACATAGTCCTGGAAATAATAATAATAATAATAATAATAATAATAATAATAATAATAATAATAATAATAATAATAATAATAATAATAATAATAATAATAATAATAATAATAATAATAATAATAATAATAATTATAATTATAATAATAATTATAATAATAATAATATAATAATAATAATAATAATAATAATAATAATAATAATAATTATTATTATTATTATTATTATTATTATTATTATTATTGTAACTTTATAAACATGTAATTGTGATTTTATAAACTACAAATTTATGAACGTGTAATATTGACTTTATAAATCTATGACAATAAATTTATGAATTTTTTGTTGTGACTTTATAAACATACAATGGTCAATTAATGAACTTATGGTAATGACTTTATAAATATGTAAATTTATGAAAAAAAATTAATATGTGTATCGTTTAAAAGATTTAAAATAGAGTTTTTAAATAGTTTATTATTATACATTAATTTTATGTGTACTAAATAACAAAGGACAAAAAAATTGAAGTTAGAAAAATAGAAATAACAGTCATGTTGTTACATGTATCATGATTTAATTATTGATGGCTTCCAAACAAGTTGATTGGATAGTTTGTTTGGCAAACAAAAAATGTTAAGTTCGATTTTGCATGAGATGTCAACCTAGAATAATTTACCTTATTATGATTATCATGTGAGTTTTACTTGAAGTTTACATTCGTGTAGCAGTTATGATATTTTTTCTATAAATTAAAATAATATAAACTTTTCAGTCAAGTTGGTAATCACAAGGTTACAAGTTTTACTCATAATAACAGAAACAATCTATCAGTCATTTTGGTTGGTAATTCTTTGTCAAGTAGTATCACAAGACGGGATCTCCTATTGGTCCTTCATGGTTAATGATTATTTGTTTGTGACTATGAATTTTTCTCGTCACACAAAAAGAAGAAGAAGAAGAAAATGATACTATATACGTATATAACTTGTGTAAAATGATATAGACGTGTATACCCTTGTGTAACAAATTAACCATGAAATAGTAGTGTGTTGATAATATTTGGGAGAAGAGACCAATGTTCGAATCTCGACGGCGATAGTGTGAGAATTATGTCTAAAGTAGACAGATTTTTTTTGTGCAATGACATTTGATCATGTCCGCTAAACCATTAAGTCACCCTGATTTACATCTTCTGAAATGCTCTTGTCAGATCGGGGTATGGAGCCCCTTAGGTTGGGAGAAGAAAATGATATATACGTGTGTACATTGTGTAACAAATTAACCATGAAATAGTAGCGTGTGGGCGTGTGTTTTCAGAGTTGTTATGTAATGAAATGACACGCATAACGCATTTGGGCGGGGACACACAGCAGGAGCAGCAGAAGCAGGAATCACGATGGGGGGTCCAGAGGCTTCTCACTCCGACAACGCGCATCACACTTTGCGCCTTCTAGCTACCGTGCTCGTTGGCGGGGCGGTGCTAGGGCTGTCCGTGCTCGGCCTCCGCCTTGCTCGCCCCGAGGGCGGGTGGTGGAGCAGCAGCAGCAGCAGCAAGAAGAAGAGGAGGCCGATTAGGGTGTACATGGACGGCTGCTTCGACATGATGCATTACGGCCACTGTAACGCCCTCCGCCAGGCCCGCGCCCTCGGCGACCAATTAATCGTCGGCGTTGTTAGCGATGCCGAAATCACCGCCAATAAAGGCCCTCCGGTCACTCCTCTTAACGAGAGGTTTGCCTCCTTGCATTTCCATTTTTTTTGTTTGTCGATTGCTTCTCTTTCTGTTTCCCTGAATTGAGTCGCCGGTTTCATGTTGCTGTTCTCTTTATTCAATGGAAGCTCCTTCGTTAAACTACATCCACTGTTCATTTTCGGTTTTTTGGGTGAAATGTTAGGTTTTTGTACTGTGTCTGAATCATAGAAATTATGTCACTACCATTGAGATGTATAGTGGAATTCAATGTATAAAAGTTGGGGAACTTGCCATCTCATGATTGTATATATCTTAGCTTTGTTATGCTGCACTATTGGATTCTCTAAAGTTTCCTTGTAACTGTATTAAGCCTTTGGTTACATGCAGTGGTTGGGTTTTTTTATTTTTTTTATTTTTAAGATGGTATTGTTAAATGTTAATACAGTATTTACTATTTACTGTTCTTCTATCAGACCTCCCAGCAAATGTCAAAAGTATCTCTCTTGCTTGTGAATTTTGTAGGATGATTATGGTTAATGGCGTAAAGTGGGTAGACGAAGTTATCCCTGATGCCCCATATGCTATTACAGAAGATTTTATGAAGAAACTTTTCAATGAGTACGATATAGATTATATTATTCATGGGGATGATCCTTGTCTTCTACCTGATGGGACTGATGCTTATGCCCTTGCCAAGAAGGTTGGACGCTACAAACAGATCAAGCGCACGGAAGGAGTCTCAAGCACTGACATCGTTGGTAAATATTTATGCTGCCTTTAAATTCTCTGCTTTGCAACCTTATCTCTATCCCGACAGAAAACAAATAAAAGAAAAACAAAATTTCCAAATTTTGGGTTTGATGGTCAGAAGGGTTTTCCTACCTTATGCTATGGGTTTTGCTGAAGTGAAGATCTATCCATTTTTCTCTTTATTAACTGTTAACCATGTTACTTGGAGTATAATTTCAAGTGCTTCTCTGTTGCTTGCATAAAAATAGGACGAATGCTTCTTTGCATGAGAGAGAGATCCTCTGGTGGCACCCCTAGAAATGCATCCTTGCAGCGACAATTTAGCCATGGCCATGGCCAAAAATCTGAAGATGGTGTTACTGGGAGTGGAACTCTAATATCTCAATTTCTGCCTACATCTCGTAGAATTGTGCAATTCTCTAATGGGAAGGTGTGTTTTTCACCCATAGTCCCATACTTTTAGTTTCAGTAAAACTAATAAGTGCCATTTCTGATTTAGTTTTAAGGATTTCTTAAAAGAATAATTCTTTCTAATGATTTTCCCATGTGTGGAAGACCACTGATTTCTTTGATTGGGACAATGAAAAGAAATTTACGAATTGGTTATTTTATCCTTCTGTGTTCTCTGGCAAAACACCTTATCCTCTCCTATGATTTTAAATAATAACATATACTTCTAAAAAAAAGTATATTACATTGTGGAATACCTTTTGATGCTGGATATCTTCGGGCATTTCATTGTAGGGACCTGGACCTGATGCTCGCATAATTTATATTGATGGTGCCTTTGATCTCTTTCATGCTGGACATGTGGAGGTATGTGTGATAATTCAGATATAAAGACATGGTATATGGATTACAGTTGCATGATTATATTATATGCCATATGATTTCTACCATAGCCCAAACTTGATGCTTCTTGTCACTTCTTGCATTATATAGTTAGATAGCTTTCAAAATTGAACTACATTAGTACTATATTCTTGTCTCTCTTTTTTTGGTAATGCATGAAAGTTCATATTCGTTTATTGCTTATCTGGTGATTGCAGATACTAAGGATTGCACGTGGCCTTGGTGACTTTCTACTTGTTGGCATTCATACTGATCAAACTGTCAGGTAAAAACTAAAAACACACTGCTTTACACAGTATCATTGGTCATGATCCCCATCCCTTTTCCATAAATAGTTAAATACAGAACTTGACAATTAGTACATAACGTCTATTGGAGTTCTATTATTTATCATCTATTTATTTTATTGTTCACAACAAAAAAGATATTTTTAAAGAAAAGTTCTTTGGCTTCAAATATTTCATCTGATCTGTTTATATGTAAACTGGAATGTAAAATGGTAAAAGGCTATAAAATTGATGGAGAAAGAGAACACTAGTACTGCTAATTAGTAATCAGTTTTATGGTTAGTGTTACTCATAGCAGCTGCAAACTTAAATCAAAAGGAAAGGGTGTGGAAGGAGTTTAAATGTGAATACCTATTTTGCATCGTGCATGTTAGTCCTCTTATTCTAAGATTACTTTCAGAATTAAGTATAACTCTTGCATAGGAACGTTGATAAAGTTTTCTACTAGTATTTTGTGCAGTTTATTCAATCCTATTTCATTCTTCATTTCTTTGTAGCTGTATCATAATTAATACAATAAATTACCTAACGATATGCCTTTTCCCTATTTGTCTGGTTTCTCTGGAATCTAGTTCTTGCAGAGAAAGCAGTTGTCTGGTTTCTTATTTTGTCTTCTGCTGTTTCCATTGGATTCTATGGTGCTGACTAATGAATTGCACTGATTTTAGGAAATAAATAGATGAACTGCAATGTTAGTGAAAAGGAAAGGGGTAGAGGAGTTGAAAATCTTCACGCGCGCACACACACACACACACACACATTCTTTAGTCCAATTTTCTAATATATCTCTTGCATACATAATGTTGATGAAGCACTCTAGTAGTATTTTTGCAGTTGTATGGTGTCTCTAGACTAAATACATGGAGGAAGCTATTCCACACGTTATTCTGCTGTTTCTGTTGGATTATGTGTGGTGGCTAATGAAATTATGACATTTTTTGAAAATATATGGATTAACTGCAATGCTACAGCTTTTTGGTGTTCCTTGCAGTGCCCACAGAGGTGCACACCGTCCAATAATGAATCTTCATGAGAGAAGCCTAAGTGTTTTAGCATGTGGTTATGTTGATGAGGTGATAATAGGTGCTCCAAGGGAGGTGTCAAAAGATATGGTAATCTATAACCTATCTTCTTAAAACATTTTGATCTCTCTTAATATTGCTATTTCATCTTTTGCTCTTGATTTCAATGCTTTTTGAAGTGGAAGAGCTTTATCAAAAGATAAAGGGGGAAAAAAAAAAAAAACAATATTCTTAGATTCTCAACAAGTGCTTTAAGCACATAATGCCTTTTGAGTTGATTGCAGTGAATAAATGCTCAGTTGCTTTATGGATCTGTCATCATAACCTTTTGAGTTGATTGCAGTGAATAAATGCTCAGTTGCTTTATGGATCTGTCATCATAACTTACACTTGATTGGATTTGTTGCAGATAACAACCTTTAATATCTCTTTAGTTGTCCATGGAACAGTGGCCGAGGATAATGATTTTCAAAAGGTACTATTAGACTAGGAGATGTTTTCATATTTATAAAATTGAACAGTCTGTCGAGTTTCTTTTTGTTGATGATATTGTTGATTCTGCAGGAAGAGGGAAACCCATATGCTGTTCCAATAAGCATGGACATTTTTCGAGTACTTGAGAGTCCTTTGGACATTACAACAAGCACTATAATACGGAGGATTGTATCAAATCATGAGGCTTACCAGGTACAGAGTTTCTCTTTTTCGCTCAAACATGTACAAGAGCATTTCTATAAGTTCAGAAAATTAGTGTATCTGTTAGACAGCATAAATGGACCGGTTATCATCATTAAAGGCGATTTTATTGGAGACCTTAGACCTATGATCTACATTACTTTTGGTAATTTGACCATTATTTTTAATGCTGCAGCAATCTTTTGAGACAGTTGTGTGAGTTCACATGTGATAACCCATCTAAAAAAAGTTGTGTGCAATCGATAAATTTGATTTCTTATATTCTCAGAAACGGAATGAAAAGAAGGCTGAAAGCGAGAGGAGGTATTATGAGGGAAAGACGTACATCTCTGGTGATTAGCTGATTTAAAACATCTCAGGTAACTCTGAGTTTTCGAGAGAACTGTTTGTTTATTGCCACATTTACGTTGTTTACTAGTAGACTTGATGGGGTTTTGCATCCACGATTTCTGGGAGCAGATTTAGAAATACAACCTGTAGTGTCAGTGGTTGCTGTTGAAACATTTCTGTATTCTTGTTTAATATGGGGCCTGGAGTATACCCTCCTCCCTCATCCGAGGATTTTTTTTCTCCTCTTTCACCATGTAGTACTGAAAACAGGCATTTGCTTTACACTTTATATCAATACCTCAAATTGAATTTAAATTAACTTCAGCTTGAAAAGAAAGTGAAGAAGGGATCTTTGGCATGAAAGTTATGTTCCATATTTTTATAGAGCAATATTACCTTTTTCAATTTTTTTTTTTTTTTTTTGGGCACCAAATTATCATTAATTATTCGTTGGATATCTTTCAATTCACATTTTGTCACTCAAGGCTTGATGCGAATGATTTGATGAAAATAATAATTTCCTTAAATTTCTGCCATTCTTCTGTGTCTTAAGTTTGTCTGTTGGGCTTGTTAATAGATTTGTAAGTGCAAAGTGTGATTTTGGCGTTTCAAATGTTTGCACTTAGTTGTTTTAGCCACCGACTATCCCGAGTGAGCAGAATGTTATGTTCATGTATTCCAAATCGGTGTAATTTTGGTCCTTCCGCTAATAGATTGAAGAAACTCTAGGAAATTGCTCATGGGACAAACTTTTTCAGCCACAAAAGAATTGGTCCTCCCAAATCCACACGTTATTAAGAGCAACATAACATCAATTTGGAAGGACCAAAGACACTTGTTGTTTCAGCCATAATGGAGTTTCTTCTGTTCGGAAGGGTCAAAATTGCAACAATTTGGAATAACTGAGGGTGTCATTTACTCACCCATGATAGTTAGTGGCTAAAATGACTAAGCTCTGACAATTGAATGACCAAAATCGCACATTCCCGAATTTGTAATTCCTTAACCCTAATCCAAAATTAAGCTGCCTAAAATATAACTTGCGTTGAGCAGTAAAATATGGATGAAGACTCAATAGGAGTTGTGTTTGTCCATAGTTAGGAACACAGAAAGGGGGTATGTGGTTTAGGGCAAAGCCTATCTATGGCCATTATGAAGGCCATAACAAGAGCAGGTTCCATCCCTGCCTCTACCACCAAACTGAAAACATCATCACTCAGCAACACACTTGTACTAGTGTTTGCACTGTTTGTTGTCTTGGCTAACTTCCTGGATATGCTTGCAACTGTCCGGCCATCGGCCCCGGTGATCTTGCAATCCCGCCTCTTGAAGGATCCTTCTATCCTGTAATCCGGCCTCCGGCTGCTCTTAATAGCTCCCCGGTGGCAGTCTCCGACAAAGACTTCAGCCTCGCACCTAATTTTGGTTGACAGTGACCTTAAGCTTGGGAGGAATGGAGAAGGATGTGACGGCCTTCTCATCATGAATAATGGCGTTCTGGGATTGCATTCATCATCTTCTCCTCTATAACCAATCCACTGATAATGCATGCTTGGCATGTGTAACTGCATTTTTATATTGACATCATACTAATTAGAAGACTGAATTTACTACGGAGTATAATATAAGAGTTAATATCAGGTTTAGTTTTTTCCAGCTAGGGTCATAAGCCGAGCTTCACCCAAAGCGTGAACTTTCCCATAAATTAAAAGGTTTTTAGTCTTCTATTTATTTTTTAAAATTTAGTGGTCAATAAATAATATCTTTCTATATTTGACATAGAACTAGATATGACTGTAATTCGGTTCTGATTCTGGTTTTAAATTGCTAGTTCACACTTTTGGGAAATGATGATAAATTGGAACCGGAATCAATCCCTTTCGATTTCTGATGAATCGGAACCGTTTTTACGGTACTGATTTCAGTTCGGTTGTTATAGTGTCTAGTGTCGAGTTCTGTTCAAATTGAACTGTAGTCATTCTTACATAGAAGGATTGTCAACCTCGGTCAAGGTTTTTCACTTTTCACCCACATTTAGATTATGTCATTTGAATCGTTCTGTCAGATATAAGGAGAATAACATTTGTCTCTGCACGGATTGTATGATGGCGAACTAAATTTAGTACGGTCGTAATCGAATTGAATTAAATCCGAGTACTGTAAGGCTAAAACTCGACTATTTTCATCTCAGAAACCCTAAACTTCATTTGAATTTTAAGAAATAAACTTATGATTAGAGGGTTTACCTGTGGCACGAGTGTTAATAGAGCCTTGCCGAATCCGTCCATGAGAACAAGGCCGCCGCCATGTTCCTTGGCATGCACCTGCGCTCTGCACCCTCCTCCGCCGCTCCCAACCACCACGGAGGAAGACAGCCTCGCCGTCCTCTTCCTCGTATAATTGTCGACGCGAAAAATCAACCTGCCGAGGTGATCAAACACCGTGAACCCGTCGGTTCCATGGAAACTAATGCTGGATCTCTTCCACACCGTGAAAGCAATCGGCAGCGGACGAGGAGGCTGATCGTCGTCATTGTGAGGCGTGCGTCTGTTATCGGCGGCGGCCGCCGGATGAATCTTGGAGGACGACGACGACGACTGCGGCATATTAGTTTCGTCTATTTATGCACAACAAATCCACAGAGAAACTAATTAGCTAACTACTAGAGTAAATGGCTGAGACTTTGAAATTGGAATTGCCTGTTTTCTTTGTTTGTAATATAAAGATTAATCAGCAGCGATAACATCAATGAAGAAGGGCTAAGAAACCTAAGGGTGATTTGGGTTCAACATTAGAATTGGAATGATAATGGGAATCAAAGTAATGGAATGAGTTTAAGTAAAGAGTCACATCGTTTGATGGTAAATAAATTTATTAAAATGTACAGAAGTAAAAGGATAATGAGTTGTATAATTACTAAAGGATTTGGTTTTGGATAATAAAAGTAGATAAATAAACATAGTAATTGGTATTAAAACTTACTAGGATGCAAAAGTCTCCAATTAAACACAACCTAAACTAGTTTTGTCCTTTTCATGACTATGTATATACTCACAAATTTCTCATATAGCTATCTAATTATACCATATATTATGGATACTGTAAATATTTCATAAATTATACGGAGTATCATATATTATTGATATCATAAAAAAAAAATCATTCTTTACAAGGTAATATATTTTTTATATTTTTTCCATCTTTTTTCAAATAAAAATTTCATAAATTATATCATATATTATCGATATCGTAAAAATTCATTCTTTACAAAATACGGAGTAATATATTTTCTATACTTTCCTCATCTTTTGCAAATGGTAACAGATATGACATTACACTACATAGTAGTTGTCAAAGTAATTGTTATTATTTATTATCAAATTAAACCTTAAACATAGCTAAACTATATATAAATACAACATATATACACACATGTAGATATATCCATGCATGTTGAAGAATTTAACTACTCCGTATTAGTTTAGACTTTTATAACGTAGTATCCTAGTCAAAGCGGGCCTAGTTATTTATGCTATACAATAAAGAAACCTTCATGTGTTGCACATGAGGACGGAACTAGAAGTGTAAACGAGTCAAGCCAAGTCAAGCTCAAACCTAGTTGGCCTGATTTCGAGCTCAAAGTAGTTATAGGGGCGTGAGTTCAAGCCCAAGTTCGATTGGAGTTAAAGTGGGTTTGATTATTCGTTACCCAATAAAGAAACCTCTACATGTTGCACACGAGGATAGGACTAGTCGACTAAAAGTGCAAATGAGTCAACCAATAAGTCAAGTTCGAACCTGACTTGATTTTGAGCTCGACATAATTATAGGGGTTCTAACTCAAGCTCGAGTTCGATTGAACTTAAAAATTTAAGTTTGAATTCAATTATGTCCTCGAACTTTAGCTGAAAAGTCAATTAGCCCCCTAAATTTAAAGAGTCAAATATGCATGCCCTCGAACTTTAGCTGAAAAGTCAATTAGCCCCATAAACTTAAAGAGTCAAATATGCCCTCGAACTTTAACTGAAAAGTCAATTAGCCCCCTAAACTTTTTAAAGGTGCAATTACGCCCACCAACACTTTTTTTTTTTTGAAAATACGCCCACCAACACTTTATTTTGGTGCAATGAAGCCCAAAAACAAGTTAATGATGACCTGCTATCACAAGTCATTAGGGTTCCGACCACCCTCCAATGAAATTTCTAGCAAAAAAAAAATGACTGGTGACAATTGCAAAATTTCCGGCAAAAAGAAAAAGTGATCAGCGACTGTTACGGAGAAGACACCAAGGTCGCCTTCTCAGTGGAGAAAGCGACCGCTAGGTCACCTTCTCCGGCGAGAAGTGACCCAGATTTGGGTCGCCTTCTCGCTGGAGAAGGCAACCTAGATGTGGTCGTCTTCTCAACCAGAGAAGGCAACCCAGATGGCGTTCGTCGGTTGCCGGTCACTTTTTTTTTTTGTCAAAAATTTCGTCGGAGGTGGCCGAAAACCTCATGACTTGTGATAACAGGTCATTAATTAACCTGTATTTGGGCTTCATTGCACCAAAATAAAGTGTTGATGAGTATAATTGCACATTTTAAAAGTTTAATTTAGAGGCTAATTGACTTTTCAGTTAAAGTTTGAAGGCATATTTGACCCTTTTCGCAACTATATATATATATATATTTATAGCTCCCCAAGTAGTTTGACTAATTAACCACGAGCCAATAAATTTTAAGCATGAATTCTAATTGGATCGACATCAAATCAAACTTTGACCAAGCAACTCACAAGCTACTTGTCTTGTTTGCACTCTTGGACTCATCCTTCAATAATCCAAAAATCCAACACAACACAATTCAAAGTTCAAACTACTATATATACATACCTTCTTGACAGCAAATTGTTTCGAGCAATGCCGCAGGCGGCGGCTTCTTGTGCTGAGACAAACATAATTGTACATTATAAGTTAGAGAAAGGAATATGTATTAATGTATTTATATGTATATTAGTACAAGAAACTATATTACACGACAGTCACGTACGACGTACTCTGTAGGATTCATCAATCTGCAGTCCGGTCAATATATTTTTGTACTTTGACTCTTGGTCTGCCTTTATGTTTCCATGCTTACAAGGCAGAATATATTACACAATACACACACATATATATAGAGAGGGAGAGAGAGAGTTTTCAAATTTAATGAAAGTTTTAAATACACAAATAATGAGGGCAGTTAATAAAATGACAGGTGAAACGGACATCATTGAAATCCCAGGCCCCCACACTACAGATTCCATAGTAGCCCAATTTAATGATAATTACTCCGTACAATATATAGTCGTGTTTGGTAAATGGCTGTTAGCTGATAGCTGTTAGTTGATTGAGTTAATCAGATGATATACCTAGTTGATAACATTGGCTGATTGTAGAAAGGTGTTTAGTAAATTAGCTGTTAGCTGATAACTGTTTGGTATAATTTCTTTTCTCAAAAAGTTAATTGAAAAAGTTGCTTAAAAAACAGCTTTTTGAATTTTAGTATTTTTAGAGTAACAAAAAGTTAATTAATCAAATACTTATATTGATTTTTAACCAAGTCAAACAGCTAATAGTGATCAAATAAGTCAAAATTAACCTATAGGCTAACTATTTTACCAAACAGTGCCATAATGATGTCTCTAGACTCTAATCTTGTTATAAAAAAGATAAAAATGACATGTTGTCTTTCAATTATACTAAGATGTAAATTTCAGTCACTTGATACGGGGAGATGGAGGTGATAATCGCAATATGGCAGAGCGAGGTGTAGCCCTGTAGCCACTACTCAAAGATGATGCGTACTGAGTAAACCCCACCTCAAATCTACAAGAAAAGTAAATTGTACTAGAAATTTTTTTTTACAGTAGGCTCGTTTGAGAGAATATTAACAAGAATCAAACTCGTGATATTTTGGTACGAGAACCATAATCTACTCACTTGGTTACCCATTTTAGGGTAACGGGTTTGAGTTATTGGTACATAGGAAGGGTATGGAAGCATAAATTACCAAATTGGTCAAAATAAGACTTTAGAACATTTCCATTAAGAGATCATAGACACCTAGCATGAGAAATATTTAGATATTAAAAATTGAGTTCACGCTTCAAGTATAATTACGGTATTAAATGTTTCATTTTTCCTTAAACAATTAATTAAAGCCTAGGGCCAGTTATATATCTTCATGCCAATCCTATATATGAATTGATGAGATTTTGGAGTCTCTTGAATTGTAATAGTTAGTTGCAACCCCTACTCTATTATATAGTGAGGCCTAATGTCTTTATTGCATGCTTTCCTTCCACTTGGCCACTTGGGGAACGTTTAATTATCATTAGTGGTTTTAGACTTTTTAGTACATACATCATACATGAGCTCACCTCAATTTCGGTGGTCTTTCTTTCCCCATCAACTTGATTAGTTGTCTCCATTATATCAATATTAAAAGTTCATTTAATAGTTAGGCAAGCATGTTACCATTTAAAAGGTGAGAAAGTTTTAGAAGCAACCCCAACAACAGTTTTAATGAATTTTTTTTTTTCATTGTTGTTCCTAAAAGGTTGAATTTCCAACCTTATGACTCCCCACGTCCCGGTTTCGACCTTTCATTTTTGTTCTCAAAAAGTTGGATTCCCAATCGCAAGAGCCTCTCACGCTCCGGTCCGTCCCTACATCCCGACCTTTCATTGTTGTTCAACCTTATTATGTTCCAACCCGACAGAGTATTCTCAGCTGATTAAGCTGAACATAGATGCAAGGTTGTTCCTACATTGTTGCTAATAAGACTCAATCTCGAGTCATTGTTCTCAAACTTCATCCATGTGATCAACTGAACTACCCATGTCGTGATGCATGTGATTTTTTTTTTTTTTCATGACATGTGAGAGAGAATGTAGGAGAGAAGAAATTAAAATGGTAGGGAATTATTTAATTTTTTCCAACTGTAGTGGGTCCCATTGAAAAACAATAAAATGGCTGCCACCTTGGCTTGTTTTCCTTTTCTTTTCCTTTTATTAATTTTATTTATTTTCTTTGTGGAACCTAGAAAAAAATAATTTTGAGTTTGCGCTGCTGGGATGCTCTACTCATGAAAAGAGTGAGTTTGATATTAGGGAAAATAAATCGCAAGTAGGGGCCAACATTTTTTCCTAGGTGAAACTTAACTAATTACTCTTTATCATATTATTGCATGGAAACATAAACACAAGAAACGAAATGCGTTAAAAAGTCAAAACATGCTAATTAATTTTAATGTGTTATTGATTTTCTAGGTAATTTAATTGTTGTGTTTTCTGAGTAACACCAAACATGCTAATTAATTTTTATGATTCGAATTCTTATTAACTGTGATACATAGAAGGGAGCGGGACGTTACATCAGGCCTAACCGCCATGATTCGGTTAATAAAGTTCGATAAGGTTGTGACTTTTACATTTTCACATTAAGTGAGCTCAAATTAAGGATTGAAAATTGTAAAGTTAAGCATATATGAATCAAGTGGGAGATTGTTAGAAATAATTTATTCCTAACGTTGATTCATATTTTTTTTTTTGAATGCTAACGTTGATTCATATAATTAAGGTATCATGCTTATATGAATCAAGTGGGAAACTGTTAGAAATAATTATTTCTTAACAATAATTTATATAACTCACGTTGATGATTAGTGATGTGTAAAGGAGGAATTACTGGGTGAAATTCCCTCCCTCTCATTCTGTTAAAATTTAAGTTTATAAGGGAAGTAAAATTATTCCTATCAAATACTCCGTTCTT